ATAAGGTCAGCTAAAGGTTAAAAATATATACAACCAGATTTCTAGAAAGTTCAACTGGAATGTAAATAATGCAGTGTAGTCTTTATTTATAATCAATTTTATATGCTTAGATAAAAATGCACATATAAGCGCATTATGTAAAGAAAATTCCATTAAAAAAATCCAACTAAGTTGGGAGCCATTACTTACAAATTTGTTTCTCTTCAAAGGGTGGTTTTCCAAACACATGTGAGTTCCTGGTTTTTGTCACAGATTAGACTTGATATAAGCTCTTTTGGATTACATTACACACAGTTCAGAAGAGGTTGGGATAAGTTGTTTCATGTAAAATACAGACATGGAGGGAAAAGGGAGGTGTTGACTATTTTGCCAATTTCTCCTCAGGCCTCATGATCTCCAGGTCCAGTAAAGACTGTCTGGATCATAAATTGGCAAACGACAACCAATGCATCATCTCTAGTCCACTGCCTGTTTTTATAAATAATGTTTTTATTGGAATACAACCACCCTTGTTGAAGAATTGTCTATGGTTGCTTCTGTGCTCCAAAAGCAGAGCTGAGTACCCATAGCTGCAAAACTCTGGCCTGCAAAGCCAAAAATATGTACTATCTGGTCCTTTCTTAGCCTATTTTTGTGTTGCTATAAAGGAATACCTGAGGCTGAGTAATATATAAGGAAAGGAGTTTTAGATGGCTCACGATTCTGCTGGCTGGAAGACAGGACATCTGGTGAAGGCCTGTCTTCTTCCACTCATGGCAGAAGGTGAACCAGAGCCATGTGTGCAGAGATCACACGGTGAAAAGGGAAACAAGAGAGGTAGGAGAGAGAGGAGCTCTTACTAGCATCCAATGCTCCTGGAAACTGATGGAGCTCATGCACTCCGGTCCCCACATTAATCTATTCAGAAGGATCTGCCCTATGACCTAAACACCTCTCATTAGGTCCCTTCTTCAACACTGAGGAACAAATTTCAACATAAGGTTGGAGGGGTTAAATATCCAAATCATAGCAGGTCCTTTACAAAAAAGAAAAATACTTATTCCTGGTCTAGTTCATCATTGTTCGATACAAGCGGAATGCAAATCACATTTGTAATTTTAAATTGCCTAATAGATACATTAAAAAAAGGAAAAAGAAATGGGTGAGATTAATTTTAGTAATACATTTCATTTAATCCTACATATCCAAAATAGAATTTAACATGTAGTACTAACCACATTTCAAATACTCAGTAGCTACAAATGTTTAATGGCTACCATTTTAGACAGTGAAGCCCTAGAAAAGCAAGCCAGAAGGAGCTGCTGGGAGACCCATTCTACAGAAAATCAATTTTAAAGAAAAGACATTTCCAGGATACTACAATAGGCCCCAAATAATAATCCACATTACCCTTTTTCAGTTCACAGAAAAGAAATGCAGAAAAAGAATTTAAAAGCAACTAACCAACGAACAAACAAAATAGGTTTTTTTTTTCCCTTAAAATACGATGAAGCTACAAAGATTTCTGCAATTACAGATGATTTTAGGATGGTTGTTTATTCTCTACTTTGATACTAAATTCCTTCCATTGCAATTTAAACAGGTTCTATCTTGTCTTATCCTTAGATAAATCTAAGAAAAGCAGTCCCCCATCACTAATATGATATTGTATTCCTTTAAATCCTTTATGACTCTGGCCTTCCTTTCCTATGCCAGAGATATTCTTTGTCTAGCAGCACAAATTCAACTCCTCTAGCATTTCAAATTGGAATTATTTTCAAAATGTTTTGTTGTATTTGTTTTTCTCTTTTAAACTTTTCTCCAGATCTATATGTACTTGCTTCAAATGCAACAAGAAAAAATAAATACAGCATTCTAATAAAGTCCAAATGTTGCCAAACACAAAAGTCTCCGCTGCTAGTCTTCTGTTTAAACAGTTCATTCTATTGTTGGAGAATATTTCACCTGTGTCTTACTAAAATCCACAAACAAAAACAATCCTGAAAAACAAAGTAACCTTTAACAGTTTTAAATTTCACAGGCATACTGTCCCTCATTTTCCCCACATATACAATGAGCATGATTCAAATTTGGTTTCTTAAAATTAATTTTTTTCTTATGAAAACTCATGAAGCATTTTACCATATTAGTAACAAGGAGAATGGGGAATGTATCAGCACCCATAAAATGTCATGCTTATCAAATTTGTAAATTAAAGAAGACTAAGATACAGTAACCTTGGCAGGTACGGTGGCTCACATCTCTCATCCCAGAGACTCAGGAGGCTGAAGCAGGAGGATCGCCTGAGGTAAGGAGTTTGAGACCAGCCTAGGCAACAAAATGAGATCTTGCCTTTAAACGAAAAAATTTTTAAATTTAGACAGGTATGGTGTTGCGCACCTGTAGTCCCAACTACATGGAAGGCTGAGCCGAGAGAATTGCTTGAGCCCAGGAGTTCAAAGCTGTAGTGGGCTGTGATCATGCCACTGCACTGTGATTGTGCTGGAGTGCAGTGGCATGATCTCTAAAAATAAGACCCTGCCTCTAAAAATAAATAAATAAATAAATAAGACAATCTCAACAGCCTAACTCTATCAGGATGAAATGCTAAGAGAAAAAGTGTATAGCAGATCATGAAGATATCCAGTACATAATTTAAAAAGATACAACTTAGGAGAAGCATAAAAAATATTGTTCTAATTAGCACTAAATTTAATAATAAGAGAAGTATAATATATATGACAAAAAAGGTGATAGTCCTGTCCAATTGAGTTTATCTCCGAATGTAAAGAATGAAAGTTTGAAATTGTAGTCATCTAAGGTAAGGGGCAAAAGCAAGAAAATAAAGTTGAAATCAGCCTGTAAGTAGGAAAACAAGATTCTGGCATTTTATTGCTTCTTGAAGTCAACGAAGAAACAAAATTATATAAAGAAAATGAAATCTATATATATTATTACCAGTACCTAAAGAGTAACTATGAAGCTCTTCAAGAGAGTGAAATACATAGCAGTCAGTTTACCTTCTGGGAGTTAAACTAGTAAAAATGACACTTGATGAATGAGATTTGCTCCTGCAGACCCTAGACATCTTAAAGGCATAGGTCAAGAGACATCCCCCAGTTCTCACCTACTACTCTAGCATATAATTTCCACTATAAGATGCTAACTCTGTTATGAATGGTGAGCAACAAAGACACACCAAGATGGGAATGCTTGGCAGCTGGCTCAGCTCACTCACTGGGCTTTATTCACTACAGCCTTATGATACCTAAGACTGTCAGTGTGATTCAATTTCCCACCTTATGTTCAGCTGTGAATGTTGAAGTTTCAAAGCATCTCTATAACTGTCCTTAGAAAATGACCTTTTCAAGTTAAGAATAGGAAAAATAGGTTTCAAAAACCTAAAGACAATGGATTGAATGAGAAAAGAAAAAAAGCCGTCACCTAATCACCAGCTTCAATATCTGAAGGAGGAAAGTACAAACAAAAGCAGGTGTTCTAAATGGAGTCTTAAAAAGAAAAATCCAAAATTCAGAAATTTTTCCATGCATTATCAGCCTTGGCCAAGGGAGATGGTACTCTGCTGGGCTGAGAGCATTGGTTACATTCAACTGTCAGAGCTCAATGAATGAATATTCTCTGGGCTCTGACTCCATGCCCATGAAGAAACCCTGTGTTACAATTTCCCCTGGCCTCAGCTTTGCTGCAGTGAGAATGTACCAAGCAACAACCAGAATGCCAATAAAAGAATTGTCATTCTAGTTTATATATTCATTTTTGTAGGTATTTAGTTAGTGTGACTCAGTTCTCACAAGGTTGACAAATCCTAGACTCACTTGTAAAAATCTAAACCAGGTCTCTAAACCTAAAAAGCTAAAGATTACATGCTAGCACCCCTGCCCCCAACTCTGCTGCTTTGAGGCATGGCTTTAATGGCCCATTGGCCTTTCTTGATGATGACATATTCTTTTGCCTAACTATATACATACACATGAGATAAAATAAGGTCTTATTCTACGTCCTTATTAATAGTATATTACTAGTCTTCATAATACCATTAAAATAACAGAAAAGATGAACAATATGTAATTAAGAATCAGCAAAACCTTGATTTAGCAATCCCACTTCAAAAAATATATCCTTCAAATAATCTGCATGAAAAAAGCTTTAGGTTCATAGATGTGTTATTTAAAAAGTGAAACATAAAAACCAAGCCATGTATCAAGCCATAGAGAAAGGATCTATACCAGCAATGATAGAAACACCACATAGAGCATAACGCAGCCATTAAAAACAAAAATTACATATTAATACCATGAAAATATGTTTACATGAAAAAATACATTTGATATGTACATATAAATGGCATAGTTACAACAGTATGTTGAGGGGATAATTTGGAGGTAAAAATATAAAAAGATGGAAAATAATCCCTTACAGAAATCAGATTAAATTACTATATCATATTTACACATAAAAAACAATAAAGCTAGCCAAATTTCTGCTAAGCTGGTTGGCTTGGTTTACGAGAATAAATGCCAACTCCATCACTGTGTATTCACTGAGGCTTAGAATCCTAGAGAGTTAGTGATCCTACTGATACTGGGTATATCAAAATAATTATCCATACTGTGATCTAGTTTTTCTGATCTTTTTTTGTTTATTTTCAATCAGCATTTTTAAGAGGTCAGATACTCTTAACCGAAAAATAAAAATAGATCCAAACTACAGAATATAAATGTTTTCCCTTCCTTATGGAAAACGACCTAGGATTCAAGGGTTAATATAAAATGGACTCAATTTTGACAAGCCAGAATCTATTTTGTCAAAAATCATGCCATAATAAGTATAATAGTCACTCAAAAAGTTACACTGATTCACCCAAGATTACTTGGTAGATGTAGCAGTCTCTTAGTTCTTGTTTTTGTGCTGATACTTAAGTGCCATGTATTTATGAATGCATCTAACTTCTTATTCAGTTGATAATGCTCTTTGTGAATATCAGCTTGATTTGAACTTACCTTACATGAAGACTCCACTTGCAGACTAGGGCAAGGTAATGGCCCAAGCTGGTAGGGGCTGGAGGATCTCTGTTCTATACTTTTGTGCTTAAGTGTCTCTGAGGCAATGGGAAGTACAGACTTCACAAGCTGTGAATCATCACAACAATTAAGAATAATTCGTGCTCTTTCTCCTGTCTCATGTCTTTCCAAAGTGCCTGGAAAACAAGAAGTAAAAATGTCAGCAAAATATTTACCCCAACAGAATAAGACAGAACAAAACACTCTTTAACAGAAGAATCACAGTCCTTTAAGTTATCTTGCCTTAGTATCTTGCAACCGAAAAATAGCCTGGGAGCTTTTTCTAAATTATTCAAAACACTTGCTCATAAAGGCTGAACTTATGGATTTGAAAAGCTCATCTTCCTCTTTGTGCTTCTTCATCCACTGAAATCAACAGGAGATTCAATAGTCTTTAATAGTAAAATCTCTAACTTATTATACAGTATGCAAGTGATCAATAACACATAACTATGGAATATTTTAGTGCTGTCCCCTAGTGTTCCAACTCACAAGCAACAGAGAACCCACAGTGCTTTGCTTGGGTTCCTAGGCTTGAAATGTTTCTATTGGTAACATATAATTTAAATGAATGGAGCAAGTAAGAACACGGATGCTTTGTGTACTGCCTCCCTCACCCAAGCGTCCCCGCAGGGCTTTGTTGTTTTATTGTTGGGATTGTTGTGATTATATCCTTTGGCTTTTATTTCTTACGTTATTAGAAGGGGAAAAAAAATCCTTTGCCTCTGTCATTCTTCCAGTTTCAGAATTTAGGAGTGCTGTCAAGTTCAATTTAAAGTTAAAAAAAAAGTATAAAATAGACCAAAAGTATCAGAAACCAATTCACAAATAGTTCAATGTTTTTATAAAATACAATGCCATACACTCAGTGAAATATCAATAAATATGAATTAATCATGTTCTCTGTCTCTTATGAGTTCATTTGCATTATTCATACTATATTAAATATATAGGTTATTTCCTACTGAATAAAGACACCAATGAATACTAATTTAATAAACAATACCTAAATATAGACTTTATTTCATATTCTTTCCTACCAGTGAGAAAGAAGTAGATGTACTATTTATATTGTTAAGAAAATATCAAATTAATTACAATAAGAAAATAGAAATAATAATTGTAGGCCACTAAGTCTTTAGATAAAAAGATTGGTAGATATATTTGAAGATTATGATGATTCTATCCTTTCTCATTTCTCTCCCACTCTTCTATAGCCTTCTTTTATTACAACTAGACTACCATTAGTTGGCACCATGGATGCTGAACCAGTAACAGTTACTTTGCTCAAATAACAGGCAGAACTTCAATCTCGAGTCCCTTAACAATATAATTTTATTGTAACATTTCTACATTCATAAATAAACATCCTTATCATACAAACTTATAAACATGTTATTCTTCTAAGCTTTCCTTTTCCATCAAGATTGATATATCTGGCCGGGTGTGGTGGCTCATGCCTGTAATCCCAACACTTTTGGAGCCCGAGGTGGGCAGATTGCCTGAGTCCAGGAGTTTGAATCCAGCCTGGGCAAGACGGCAAAACCCCATCTCTACAAAAAATAAAAAAATTAGCCAGGCAGGGTGGCGAGCACCTACAGTCCCAGCTACTAGACAGGGCTAAGGCAGGAGGATCTCTTGAGCCCAGAAGGTTGAGGCTACAGTGAGCCAGGATCATGCCACTGCACTCCAGCCTGGGTGACAGAACGAGACTCTGTCTTAAAAAAGAATAAACACAAAGTCTGTCACAACGGTATGCAACAGCTAGATATTCTGGGACTTTAATTTTTATAAATTAGGAAAAAATATTGATCTATTTTCTGAAGGATACACTTCAGGGAGAAAAAATTATTTATAGATCAACAAATGAAGCTGACAGCAACATCAAGAAAACCCTTCCTCTCAAGACTGATGATAAGAAAAGCTTCAGAAACCAAAGATAAGAGTTATTACTGCTTCCTGAAAACTACCGCATTCCAGAACTTGGAACCGTGTTACCTGGTAAAATTTACTGTCTTTCTGAGAAGTCTCTCTTTGAAAATGGTATCGTCCTGAATATTTTCTTCTCACAAGTTCTCTGTGGCTCCTCAAGCTATGATATTTTTTTACATATTTTAGGAATGATTGGGAAAGAACTTACTGCACTTTAATACATTTGTTATGTGCCTTATGCAAAATGTATACATTCTATATATCCATGTTTTATTGTATACCTGATGTCTGACCCAAACACAACTATTTCTTGTATTTTTTTAATGATGAGAATAGTTTATCTACAAATTTAGGTAGTTGTAATCCATTTTCATTCGTGCAGATAATTAATCTGTCTGAGTATTTACTATGCTACCATGTACCATCCATCATGCCAGATGATGACAATGTATAGTATATAAGAATGACTCAGTCCAGGTCCCTGAGAGCTTCCTTAAAACCTAATGGTAGTACAGATGCAAGAAACATCTGAAAACTGATAAGCTGCAATATTTAAAGTAACACCTAAGCTATTTCCACCCAAAACTAAAAATCTCCCCTCCTAAAAATGTTAGACATTTGTTTTTGTGTACAAGAGTTTCTGTCAAGATTAGTTATAAAATAGTAGAAAAATAATGAATATTTTGTTTCAAAGAACTGATTAAGGTATACACATGACATAAGGAGTGGTTAGAGTCAATCAATTTCTGTAAAAGATATAGACAGACAAGTAAACTACATGTTCAAAGCAGTAATTTAATTTTGCAATAGGTTCACGATGGCAGCTTTTGAAAGACCTTGGTCAAAATTCTGACAGTGGGTGGGCATTCCCACATGTGCTAGTTATCAATTTATTGCCTCAGATTCAAATTCAGCCTTCACTGCCTGCTTTGTGAAAATGAATATGGGCTTGATAAGTATTTTCTTGTTTATCAGCTGGTGAAATATTAACCTTTGGGGACAGAGGGTGCTGGAAAGACCAAGTAGAAGAAAGGGTTAAGGCCAGGTGTGATGGCTCATCCCATCCTAACTATAATCTTAGCACTTTGGGAGGGTGAGGCAGGTGGATCACAGGAGTTCAAGACGAGCCTGGGCAACATGGAGAAACCCTGTCTTTACAAAAAATACAAAAATTAGCCGGGCATGGTGGCATGTGCCTGTAGTCACAGCTACTTGGGGGGCTGAGGTGAGAGGATCACTTGAGCCAGAAAGTCGAGGCTGCAGTGAGCTGTGATCATACCACTGTATTATAGCCTCGGCGACAAGGTCAGACCGTGTCTCAAAAAAAAAATAAAAAATAAAAAGAGGAAGAAGCAGGAGGAGGAGAAGAAGGAGGAAGAGGAGGAAGAGGAGGAGGAGGAGGAAAGGAGGAGGAGCAAGAAAGAAGAAGGGAAAGAAGAAGAGGCAGGGGGAGGGGAAGGGGAGGAAGAAAGGGCTTTTTCTTCTTGGTTCTGGTGTACTTTTCTTGGAGTAGTGTTAGTGGCTTCTCCAGTAAAGGTGTCGGTACTACATGACAGCTGGCCCAGCAGCACTTTGCATCCAAACACTTTCTTTGGCATACTCTTTGGGCAGTTTTGTAACAGTGTCTCCAGCAAGACATCTCCCTGTGGACAGCTTTCTCTGGCACCCTCGAGGGAATATTTCTAGAAAGTTCCACCAGAACTACACCATAGCAGCGTCTTTGCCATTCAATACATATAACCATACCCTCTCTAGCAAGGTCAGGAACTTAGCCCTGGAGGGTGGAAAGGGGGGTCTTTCTTGGTTTCTTGATCAAGCTAGCACAAGTTCTAAGGCTAGGAGTCATCCTTCACATCTGCTATTCCTATATTCTTTAGAGTTCTCTTCTTACTAGTCAATCTCTCATATTCAAATTCTTTATGCTAGTTAATAATTCTTTATACTAAATTTTCTGTTTAAGTTACTGCATCATTTTTCTTTCCTGATTAGACCCTGATTAATACACTACGATACATCACTTATGATGCAGAATGTTTCCTTAAATATGTCTCCAAAGTTATGAACTTTATACCACTTCAGAGATATACTTAAACTATTAGAGAACATATATAGCAAAAAAAAAAAAAAAGAAAAAAAAAAGGAGGCATGACCACAAGGAAGATTTCTAACAAGCGATGCTTTTCCAACTCTAATATACTGCCTTGGGCAAGATACAGAATAGCTACTATTTCCAGATATTAAAGAAATGTGAGAAACCGAAGATTCACAAAATTGCTTAATTCAACTTCCAGTTTCAGGAGAACTTTTCTTTCCAAAGTAAACTCACTGATAATTAGAATTTTATTTCATTATAGTACATCAAGAATAGGAGTTAATTCATATTTATTATTCATTTGAATCAATCTGAACATGACAAGGAAAGGTGTAGAGACATAGGCGAGTTAAGTACTACTGAAAGTTACATTACATCTCCTCCTTCAAAGTAGGTGTGCAAAAATATTCCATAAAATCTATTGTAAGTAAAATCTTTATTGTATAAAATGCTTTCCAATAAATATTTTGTATTTTTCTATTATTTATTTAATATGATTTTTATATAATTTGTTTTAATCTTAAACTGTGTAATAGTGCATTAGAGAGCAGAGCTAATCATAAGAAAAGATAGCTTAAAGCAATTAACATCTTGATAAGAAATGAAGGAAAGATCAGTTTCCAAAGTTGCATAGTTTCCGAAAAGTCAGTGCACAGAAATATAAGAAACAGCCAAGATAATCTCTGCAGATCCCCAGACCCGTATTGACAGGATTTTCACTTGTACACACTGCTTTCCCTGTCAATTCAACATACCCCACAGCGTACTTAATCAACTACGTTTAAAACCAGAGCCTTCTCTATGACCCCATGCACAACCCTGCCCATGTTCTTCCTATCTGTCCAGGCAGACAACAAGGACACATCATCACAGCATGGTGTTTAGGAGCAGACTCTGGCATCAGACTGTCCTGTAGTTAAATCCTTGTTTTACCTTTGATGGCTGTGTGGCCTTCAGCAAGTTACTTTACATCTCTGTGCCTCAATATCTTCATCTGTACAATGGGGATAATGATAATCCCTACCTCATGGAGTTACTTGAGGATTAAATTGAGTAGATATAAGAAGGGCTTAGAGGTTTCAGCACACAGTGAATGCTGTGCTATATGACAGC